GGAAGCACTGCTGGATCTCCATGATCTACTTATTCCAAGGAACAAGTTCAAAATCCACTTCAAGAACACCCTGGTAGTAAAAACACCTTATCCTCTGCTTTGCTCTGGCTGAAACTTTCCTGTATTACCCTACTTCAAGATGTATTTATTTCTCACTCTTTTCTGAAGTATCGCTGAGGGGTCAGGAGGAAGAATTTTGATAGAGCTTTATCCAAAAGTTTGAGAAAAAGTGTGACCAACACTGACCTGCTGTAATGCTCTGAGGGAGAGTGTTGTCCTACAGTGCTGACCACAAAAAACAAAACCGTGTGCCACAAGCAGCCAGATGGGAATTTTAGATCCTAACACAGGATTTAATCAAAGAGAGCATGGGAAAAACAAGCCAGAAAAAAGAATGATCTTCCCCAAAAGGTGGGTTCAAGTTACTCACCGAGGTTAAAGAATGGTAAGTTCCATAGTTGAAAGTGCTGCTGCTGCGCTCCCGCTGCTGGCTCAAGGCCATGGCTTGCTTTTCTTCATCTAGTACGACCTAAAACAAGTGATTCAAAGGCAAAGGGAAGCCTGTTTGCTTGGCAGACCCCTCTCCCAGTGTTCCCTGTAAATAATGAGATGCTGCTGTGTCCTGGCTCTAGATACAGTCCCAACCCCACACGGCTACGGAGCAAACTCCTGTTTCTGCTGGTGGAGCGAGGAAGGCAAGATCACTGGCATTGCTCAGCATTAAATGTTAAACATGAGTTAAAATTTACAAGATTAGTATTGGAAAGTTTGAAAAAGGGGCAGTGTTTCTGCTTAAGTCATCTTTAGATGCCAGCTTGGAATTACTGCTCATGAAACAACACTAGGTTAGTGCCCAGAGTGGGATTTTGGCCCTCACACTCTGCTGTACAGTTCTCTTGGGTTATGATGCCCAGAGCTGTTCTTAGCACAGCTTACTGAATTACAGGTAACTTCCTGCAGTGATTCCCAAACTTCCAATGGCAAAAAGTCATGTGAAATTTCACTTATTAAATAGGCCTGTGGAGCTAATGAGTTTAATAACATCACTGCTCAGAATGGTTGCAAAGAGGATCCGCAGAGAGATCTCCACAGCTTCCCAGGGCAGTGATTCACAGACCATCTTGAGGGAAATGGGGACTTATCCATGGTCTACAAAAGCAAGGGAAGGGAAAGCAGGATGCAGAACAGTGCTTGGATTAATTAATAGGGCCAGATCAAAACATGCTAATTGTTTCTACTGGATTTAGAAGGTAATTGCATGCCCATGGCATCATCTACCTGCAGGTCTTCAATCAGGATAGAGTACTCGATGCTGTTGGACTCCAGGAAGACTTTGACGGCCTGGAGGCTGTGAAAGGGGATCCGGACATCCACAGGGAGAGCAGGGGAAGAGGGGTTTAACCAGAAATCCAGCTGGAAAGAAAAATGGATTTACTGTGAGAGGGCAAACAGCTTCCCCAAAGCTCTAGAAACACCCATTTCTCCCAAATTGTGCTTGCAGCACGCTCCCCTTTGCAGCTTGGCCTCACCTCAATTTTACACTGGTTAATGTGCTCAACTTGAGAAAAAAAATATGGGAGTTTGGGGGTTAAAGCCAGTATTTGCACTGACTTCAGAGCTTTATTTGTATAAGCAAGAGGAATTTTTAGTCTTCTATTATGATTATTTTACTGTTTTCCTTTTTACCAGTGGTAGTTTCAAGAGAAGTTCCATATTTCAATATTAAGTAATGTGAAACATTGCTTTTGTGCCTCCTTTGGCATGGCTTTGTAAGATGTTGGTTTATATATTACTCAAATCAATAATTTTAAAGATAATTGTAATAACTCTCTGCAATGGCAATAAAAGCTCTAATACCTAGAATTTTATGGCGTGCTTTCAATATGGTATAGGCTCTAATAAATTCCTCTTACTACTCTTGGAGACAAACACAGAAATATTAGTGTCCCCATCTTAAAAAAAGGAATTTTGGTACTAAGGTTTAGTGTAGATCAATTAAAATATGACTATAAGCCCAGACAAGAGAGAAGGTGAATGTGGGCACTCCTGGCTGGTGCCAGAACTTGTAGCTCCGACATCGACTCCTGTTAAAGCTACTTATTTATGGCAGCATTGTGAAAAATATTGTGAAAACCTTCCCAGCACAATGAACCCAGGGCCTGGAGTGTTAACAAGTGCCTCTGTGGTAGTAACTTACCTGGAGATGTTCCAGTGTTTCCAAAAATTGCAGTTTTTGAATCTGTTCCTTGTTGCTTGCTCTGATTCGGAGAACCTGGTGTCTGCAGCAAACCAATAAGTCTTCAGAACAAAGTCTTGAGCAAGGACCTTGCTGAACCAGCTTGTTATTGAGATTATGGATTATGGATTTGAAGAAGAGTCACTTTGATACAATGAGTATAGACCTCTCTAACGCCCTTGACTTTGTGCTGCCCAAAGGTTCAACTCACAACATGCAGATCCAACCAGCTACGTGGGCCTCAGCTCAGTAACTTGCTCAATGGCACTTCCTAAGGTATCACTGGAGACAAAACATCATCAAGTGGATCAGTTTTCACTTGGTTAAAAAGATCGATCTCGAACCTATTTATTTTTGTTAGCAACTTGCTACAAAAAAAAAAATGTTTGAGTTTGCAAATGATGGAATGTTTTGGGTGTTTATTTATGTATATAAAGGAGAGCAGACACTAAATATGAGTTCACCTCACCTTTCTTGAGTTGTTTAATGCAAGGACTGTTGACTAACTTCCCTCTGTCACCAGAAGCTGATGCCATCAGAGGGTGGTTTGCACCATTCCGGATGCGCGGGTGGAATGAATCATCTCCTGGAAGGACCTTCCTCACTGGTCACAGAGGGAACCTCAGTGATTAACTTAAGCTAGACCTTGTGCTTTTTAGAAGGGGAGTTGAGAAATGACAGAGCCAAACTCTTCTTGGTAGGGGTAGATGGTAACAACAAGGGGCAACAGCTCCACGTTCTGCTGTGAACAGGAGGCTGGACTAAAAAGCTCCAGAGGCCCCTTCCAACCGATGCCTCTATGAAATAAAAAGGATCTCCTAAAAAGAGTAACTCCTAAAGGAGTTATTCTGTGATGCAACATGCGGATAAACTTTAGAACATAATGGCTGGAAACACTGGTCCAAATTGCTTAGCAAGGCTTGGAAAAGGATCAAGCATTTCCAGGGAAGTAAGAGTCCCCCAAAATAACGAGAAGCTGTTAGTGCTTCGCTTGAATAATGATCCAAGCCTGAGGTTTGTGCAACCTCAGCACTGAAAGGAGAAATACTTATTGAGGCAGAGCTGTGTACAGAGTCTGACTTTCATTGGAAGTTTTATTCTAGGATCTTGGATTTCTCTGGAGTAATTCTGCACAATATTTCGAGTGAACTTTCAGGCAAATGTATTAGAAGCAGAAGGAGAAATAAAACTTCATGGGGTGATACCCCAGAAAACACATAAAATCACGAAAACAGCATAAATAGAGGCCCTAGTGGGACTCCTGAATTTCTTTCCTGGCCATTGATAAAAATCGTGTGGAACATGAAAGATTCAAACGAGTTTCACGCTTATCTTTCGGGATTACTCATAACTCAAAACCATTACAGGTGTGAGAGAAAGAATTTAAACCCTGAATCTCAAACACCAGCTCCTTGTTTGGATGCAAAGGCAGGTTGTGATCGCCTGGCATTTGCTGGACAAGATCTGCTAGGCTGAATATTCAAGGTTTTTGGGAAGGTTCAAGCTCGAGGCTTTGCAGGATGATCCCTGACTCTACCAGAACCTGAAAAAAAAGCCTTGGGAGAACATGAACTTAATCATGGTGCTTGGAAAAGACCTTCAAGATCATGGAGTGCAACTGTAAGATGAATTTAACTCTGCGGCTAGACCCACCTCCGTAGAAAACCCAGATCAAGCTGAAGAGGAAGATTCATTCAAAGTATCAAAGCCACCAACTTCCTAGTGACTTAATTATATTGTATGATTTAGTGCAGTATTAGGAGATACTCTTTGGTGGTACTGCATAGCCAAATTCTCCTGATCTCCACGTGATTTGAGATACACAAAAGAGCTAATTTAACCTATTTTGGAGACAAATTAGTTGTGAAAAGAAGATGCCCCAAACCGATTTTGTAAAGTGAAGATACTGAAGAAAGGGACTGAAAAATACAGCCTTGAAAAGAAAGGTCTTCTACAGATGTGCAACTCACCCAACAAATGTTTCCAGGCACAAGGAAGCCCCGAAGAGGGCACTGAAGACCAAAATCAGCTTCATGTTTGATGGAAAGAGCAGATCAGTCTAGCAAAGGCAAATTTATAGAGGGCTTGTTAGGAAACCTTAGTGCAGGTAAAACACATCTGAATGCCATGTGCCCGCGTTCACACGTGTATCAAAGCTTTCAAGCAATCAGAAGATAAGGGGCTGAAACTACCTCAACATATTTTTCTACAGACACATTTACAGCTAAGCACAGAAGGGGCTTTCAAAGCTTTGTCCACAAAGCTCCTTGGCGGATGTTTTTCTCGGCAGAAGAAAATAAGAGTCAAACTGAGGGACCTTTTAACCCACACCGGGGTGCAGGGGAGCTCTGCCAGAAGACTCTTGGCCATGGGTTTTCTTGTGCTAATATTTCTCCTCCTCCAGTTTTCTAGTAGTCCATTTCTTGTCCCAAAGAGGCAGCCAGCAGAAAAAAAAATCTCACATTGGCTAAAATATTTGATTAATTTGAGTTGACTTATGTTAAAGAATGAGCTCTGGGTCCTGCTCACTACAGAACAAGTTGTCTTTAATAGACTGTGCCTATGGAATGCTATAAATACACTCTTAAGGTATAAATTACACACTTTTAGGCAGAAATTAGATGGTTTAAATTTAGGTTTTTTTTATTATTGGTTTATACTGTCACCCGCAATGCTCTGTTGCTGGGCTTTCATAGAGATCCAGCCAGCCTTTCCAGGGCTTCGAGGAAAAATAAGGCTGCAATAAAATTTGCAGGAAAGCCCGTTATGGATTGATTGCTTGGTAGAAATCCTCTTCTAGCGAAGCGTCTGACGCAGGGGGAGGCGAGATGGGTTTAAAGAAGTGCTGGGACAGCCACTGCCTGGTCCTCTCGGCTTTGCAGTGAGGGCAGGGCTGCTCCCTGATCCAGTAGCTCCCTGCGTCTCTCTGCTCTGCTGCTGCTCTCTGTCTACATCCCGCTGCGGCGAGCACGAGCTCTGCCTCGTTCTCCTTCCATACGGACGCCCAGAGGTTCTCGTCGACGCTCTCCATGTCCGGGGAGCACCGGTGAGAGGCGCTTTCCTGGCTGCCCTTTGGGAATCGTCTCTCCTCCCTCTTTTCCTGGGAGTGCCCAGCTGCAATTGTGCCAAAACGAAGGGTAGAGTCATAGGGCTGTTGGATACACTTTGTGCCACTAAAGAAAAAAAATGTACTAGGGGACAGCCAGGTGCTGAACCAGCTGTAAGAGGAGCAGACGGGGCTCCTAGGAGCTGTCATTGGAGACAGGAATCACGATCACGCCGTAATCGGCTTCTGGCTTGGCTTCCTGGGAGCCACACCTTCACCTTTGAAAATCTAGGGGAGGAAGGCTGGTAACCCTCAGAGGAAGCCACTAATTAATGAAGACCTCACCCATCTTGCTCTACAAACATTCGTCAGCACCTTCCTGAGGGGCCTCCCCCAGCAGCCACTGAAGGCAGGGGCTTCTGGTAACTCAGTTGTCTCCAAATCAGTCTTTTCTGCTTGTTTTGGCAGATAAAAAGTGAGTTATCAGTGGTTGTGAGCTGGGGACACCCCATGGAGGGCCTACACTCTGTGATACTCAGTCCTAGGGACCTGCAGGAAAATCCTTCATCTCCCACCCACAACTGTTTCTGGTAGGAAATACCACAAAGAGGCTTCTCCACGGTGCAGAAATGGCCAGGGACCCCCATTGTCTCTAATAAATGAGCTGTGACACAGCAGCAAAGGTCCCCCACAAGGGCAAGGCTGGGAAAACAGGCAAAAAATGGGCTGCGTGTCCCATTCCAAATAGACTTCCAAGTAATTATGGTCTTGGTGGTCTAGCCTATTCCAGTCCTTGGGGAATAAGGAGTCTCCAACCCCCTCAAAATGAATCAGATTTGTAAAGATTTCATAGACTGTCCACAGCTTCCTGTTGATCCCTTGTTTTAAAGGAAGGAGGGAGCAGAATTAGAGCTTGCGTCATCACTTCTGCTGCATTCCTCAAGGATGCAGAAGATGCCGGGTTATCCTGCCAAACGTGTCAGTGTTGGGAGAGCAACAGGCTCCGATTGTCCTGACCTGTCTCACTCCACCCACTGACACGGGAAGCCCATTCAGACTCAGCGCCTTGTGCCCTCTCCTAATCCCCACGGAAGGGGTTAGGGGAGATGGTTGCAGGGAGTGTTATGGAAGTCCCCAGGGCGGTCACCTCCTGTTGCAGGTTGACCATAAGGCCCTGCAGGCTTCGGAGGTCACACTTAGACCACAGGGTAAATCCATGGGCCTGCACCATGCCCAAAACAGCCTGACGAAGACAGAGAGCAGCAAGCGCAGCCCAGCCGCAAGCCAGGAGCCAAAGGGGACCGCGAGGCAGGCAGGGACCTCAGCACCAAGCAGCCCCACAGGACCCAACCAAGAGGAGGTCTGGTGACACTAACCAGGGACAGTCCACGTCACCAGGTAAGTCAGCAGTCGCAAGGCAGGTCCAAAGCTGAGCCAGGTCCCGCTGGGAAGGCCAGGAGCTACAAGACCAAGCCAGTCCACACAAAGGTCAGGGCCAAGGGCCTCTGCTTAAGAACAGCTCTTGGGCCAATGAGTGGCTGGTAGGTGGGTGGAGGACCCACATGAGGCTGTCACGGCACTTAAGCGCTCCCAGGGCACAGGGACATGGAGGCAGGCAGGGTGGGAGACACCACGCACAGTCCCGAGAGGACATGGTATTATGCAGTGAGTCACAGAGGGCCCATCGTGCTGCAGCGACAAGTGATCTACAAGGATCATGTAGAGCCAAACTTGGCTCCATTTGTCTCCTGTCCTCACCAGACAACTCACCAGGCTGCCAGGAAAGGAATTTTAAGGGGAGAAGAGACTGGAAAGGGGAAAGACCAACACCCAACTGAGCTTTCCTTGTCTCCTCTGCCCTCTTGGCAGTTGTGCATCTTCTCCTGAGCTCCGACATGGCGTGTTCTGCCCCATTTCTTTGAGCCCTACGCATAACCTTATAAAACCCGTATTTACCTTTTGAATATAAATCCCATATTTACCTTTTGAATCGCTAGCGCTTTGGTCAGAAGATAATCTTTTCTCACGGCTTTTTCGGAGGACCTGTTTCAGAGAAAGGCACACGATACAGATGTTATTAGCAAGAACGGTTGTATAATCATTATTTTCTTGATATCCAGGGCGATAACGCCCAACACTGATCTCACAAGGCGAGTGAAAGATGCAGCTGGGGTGGCCTTGGGAAACAAGGCTAATCCCTACGCAATGATAGCACCGGGAGCCGTGCCAGGCGCTGGACCGGAGCGGAGCGCTGCTGCCATGAGGGGAGCGCTCAGGTCACCGGCATTTCTGCCACGACTTCCAATGAGGCAACGCTGCTCAGAAATCCTGCTCTTTTCACGCAGGAAAACAGAAATATTTCTTTCCTCACCATTGTGGGCTCAACCTGTAGCACTGAAATGGCAAGAGGCTCCATCGGCAACTCATTTCCTCAACTAGGGATGTTAATCCCATGTAAATCCCTTCAACGCAACTCATTACACATTACTGGTGACCAAACTATTATTTTCGGTAAATAAAGGATGATTTACGTGTCCCTAATCCATCAGGCTCCTTAGGAGCGCCCGAGTAAGGAACAAGTTGGGATTTCAGTATGTTCCTCGCTATTTGTAACCACCATTGACATCGTTTTAGGATCGCAATCCTCATTTTGGTATCCTGGGCACATCCGTGGCTCTAAGTAAGGAACGAGTTGAGATTTCAGTATGTTCCTCAGTATTTGTAACCACCATTGGCATCGTTTTAGGATCGCAATCCTCATTTTGGTATCCTGGGCACATCCGTGGCTCTACACCAACGTGACACCACTAACGGCGACGGAGTTATCAACAACTGAGATTTTCAGCCAATCTTCAGCTTTCCGGAGATCTCCAGCTTTCCAGAGCCTCATGCATCTGAGTCAGGTACCATCATTGCATTTTGGTACCCCAAGCATGTTTATTATATTTAAGTAGTAAAGACAGGATGGAGAAGGACAGCAGAAGTGGTACGGCCAATCCCTTATACCTTAACAGAAAAGACTCGTTGAAACCGATGGCAACATCAACCCATGAGGTTATAATGTTTATAAATAATAAAAATAAAGGTATAAGAGTAACTTTGGTGGTTAAGAGCTTTGTATGCAGGCTACACTAAGGTTTTACTAAGGGCCACCAGGTCTCAGCACAAAACACGAGCTAAAATAGTATCTTACTTGAGCACACGCGCGGCACACAAGACAGAGAGTCAAAATGCCGATAAGGGAGCAGAGCAGGATTTTCCCCATGACCCCCCACACGTCTTCCTCATCCTTCTCATATTTCTTCTCATCTGCTTTCTGCTCAGCATTGGAGAGCAAGGGTTCGTTACTCCAAAAACACTGCCAAAAAGGGAGGAAGGGGAATCCCATGGAGCCTGGGGGGTTCAGGCAACGCTTTGTGGCAGGGACAACCCATGGGAACCGCGGAAATGCTGGAACTCGGCCACAGAGCCATGGAAACGACCGCATCCAGGTCCTGCTCCCATGAAGAGCTGCCCTCTGTGCCCAAGAGGCCAGGATGGCTGCAGGGCGTTGAGCGGATGGCGGGTGAGATTCATCCCCTCAGCTCAGCCGTGTAGAAGCAGGTTTAGCTTGTGATGTTCCTGCCACATTGTCTCCAATTCTGGCATTTCTTACTTTTACCCTCATGCTTAGGAAACAAGGTAAAGTCAAGAAGTTTTTCAAAGCAGCCAAAGCTCTCCATTGGCCTGTGTTTATGGAGTTGTCTAATTTTCTCTCCTCCTTTTCTCCAACCAACAGTGTTTTTATTACTCCGTGCACCTGCCATGCAGCTCTCTAGGGAGGAATAACACACGGGGGCAGCCCGGGTGGTATTCCCGTATGTGCCTGAACCGCC